TTTGTTGTCCATTGATCAAAATTATTGTGTGTTAGTGACGTAAATTAACCGAAATAAAATTAATGAAAGCCCCAAAGGGAGCGTTTGACGCTATTAATTATATTGCTTAGGATTGCATAAATTTATTAAAAAGTGGTGTGATAAGTTTTGGATAATTTTACAAATTATACTATTTTATGTGTGAAATTCAATATGAATAAATTTCAAGTTTAAATATCATATTTATATGTGTAATTTTTCAAATATTATCGTCGGCATTTATTATTCAGCCGTATATTTGAAAGTATTATTCTTTTTTTATAATTTAATTAACATTACACTTTAATTATATTATATATTTTCGTGATACATCATCATTGACAACGTTTCCTTTTTCTTGCCATAATATGTTATGTAAGAGTCAGTGTAGCAGTTAGTAATTTTCAAATGATATACAAAACAGTATCCCAAGTTTGCCTAAGTGGTGTTTAGATATGTTTATTAGTGGTTTGTGCGGAGAGCGGCGGTTATTCGCCGCGCCCGCTCGGCTGTATATTCTTGCTGTAGCAAGTAAGCACTTAGTCGTGGGGTAATGGCAGGTCAAATGGTATCTATTGTCCATTGACATTACTTGATAATAATTGTATCATTAGAGTACACATTACAGTAGCCTTTCTCGGGAATCTTTAAAAGTTACCTATATACACTTTAAAGCAATTTTTGGTAATTATATTTCTCTTGAATCTATATTCCCTTATGTATCCAGCAATAAATTACTTCAGTAGTTGTAGTTATCACATTATATGGCACTGAAAACTGCAGAGTAATCCGTTTGAAAGTTGTACTTGTCATTTTGCAGTTAATTCAAAAGAAGTTTTAATGAATATCGGATAGTTTTGAAAATATTCGCTTGTAGATATATTCAGTGCCAATTAATGCGATATTCGTAGGGTTCGCAGCGCACAAGGTGAGCTCTTAAGGTTACCCTCCCTATTGGAGGTGGGCGTATTGCCTATGTTTGTGGCACGAAGCACAGCTCGATAATTTTGGTGGAGTTTGTGGCAGTAAATGTCAATATATATATAAACTTCAATATAAATAATATTTCAGAACGCATTACAAGACCTGGGTGGGTTTCAGCGATTATAATTTAGACTCATTTAAGCGTATATGGTCTGGTTAGGACACAGTAAGCTGATCACCTGCTTGCCTGACAAGTATAGTGATCTCTGTAATAGATACCTACACAATATTATATCCCAGTTTATATATTAACTAAAAAATAGTATGAGAAATAAGTTGCCATTCTATTGTAATTTAAATTAATAAATATTTTAGTTTGTTTACAAATATGTTTTAGATGATCATATGTACCCAACTTTTCACCCACCTCACTATCATTTATTTTTATCTCCACTATTTTAAAACAACATTAACATGAGGTTGTGAGCTCTATTCCCGTTGGAATTATAAGCCACATGAGTGCTTGTGCAATAAATATCACAGTTTGGATCTAGGCTTTTAAATTATTATAGATTATATACATTGTTGAGCTGATTATAAAAATTTAATATATTATTATACCTTTTAATATTGTTAAAGAATTCTAATTGCATTCCACATCTAGAGTGAACGAATTTGAGATGACCATTTTCAATCTACATTATACAAGTTATTTTTTTTACAATTGTAGGATTATTAGCAGTTGCCAATGTTTTCCTTTAGTCAGTAAAAGTACAAATATTTTAATATACGATTCTTGGTATTTTACGTATTGTAGTATCTTTTTTAATTGATTTGATTCTATTACTATAAGCATATTTTTTCATTATTGCGGCCATTTAGAATTTTTCATCTCGCAAATTGTTCAGTATAAAAAACATATCATACCAATTGTAATAGTAATATTTGCGCTCATACTTTACCACACGGTGTTAACAAAATGTACATTTGTATTGCTAGATTGTGTATAACAAATATTCATCGCGTTAAGTGTATGTGTTTGAAAGTCACTTTATACTTTCCTTAATATTAACACAAATAAATATATAATACGGGCGTAACAACCCAGTTCGACTAGTAATTATAATGTATATTTTGCATACATTCATGAGGAATGTGAGAATGGTGTTTGTTTTCGCTTAAATTGCTGCTCCCAGTGATTTTCTTCAATTGGTTTTGGATATACAGTAAATGGCTTTTGTTTTCAAATTAGTTTTAAGTATATTTTAGGTTACACATTTAAGTTACTCGTTTTTCTTTCAATTTTAAACATTGAAATCTATTGTGATTTGCGTGGAAGGTGCATGTTCCAAATGCATATTTTAATTTTGATCCAAAGATTTCTTTTATTGATTTTAATTTTACTTAATATTTAATTCAAGATACGAAATGACATTTGTGGTGTGTGCATTGGTTTTGATCGTAGATTACATTAATTTTCTATGGAGTTGGTGCAGCCGAGCAAATGTCTACTATATTCTCGTAAGAATAATATATATTGCTCAATAATTTAATTCTGTTAAAAGTATTTTAAAACTTAGTAAGTAGTCCACGCATGAGTGTACGTATGTATGATGACTGTGGACTGCAGTGACACGGAAATATAATCTTACAGACAATACCCTCCGCGAAGATTTGAACATTGTAAATGTTAAAGTTTATTAGATGTAGTTGATTGCCTTGTGGGCATCTTATCGAGAGTGAGATGCACGGGGCGCCAGCAGCATCAGCACATGAATAACAGGCTCTGAAATCATTATTCTATTCTGCTCATATTTGAAAATCATCTTACATGCGATTTTAACTTATCTACAAAAAGTTTTCGAACAATTTCTCTTGCATATCTCTAACATAGACACAATAATAGCAATAAATAAAAGTGCAGATTAGATAATGTCTTCAGTACACTTTATGTGATGGTGTTGACTGAATTAATAAGTATTTTCCCACAGTCAACGAAAATTGTTATTCAATACAGGAGTCTCTGCTGCATTGTGCCTAGATCTTAGAAGTTAATGGTAACGAGGTAGAGTTAATCTCAAATATTTTGGCTCTTTGAATATTCCATGATATTATTTTGTTTTTCATGAAAGTGTATTTACATTATATACATACATACATTTAGTAATATTGTATATATTAATATTATACATTGCGTAGTTTGTAACTTGATTTTATTGTAAAGTAAGATGCCCAACTGGTTATCATTGATTTGTCCGCAGTGGAAAGTGTAATTGGGAATTGATTTTGTCATCTTTTCAGACAATGCCTTAAATAGCAGCATGTGGACAGAGCTATTTTAACTAGTTGTACATCTTAATTTGACCAAATTCATTATCCGCCGAAGTTATGTGAGAATTCGTGGCAATTGTTTGGAGATACATACCTACTAATTTTCACGTAAATTTGCGGAATTAATTATTAAGTTTTTCGTCATGTACTGTGGCCAGGTTAACAACAGCACAGAGCAGTATAATTCAGAGCCTGCCTAAAATATATTTTTGTCATGGTTTTATTTAGGTATATACATGTTATTATTCACATATTACAGTTTTCTCAATATTAGCTTGTATTTTAATTAAGAAATAATCATATTTAACATTGCCAGGTGATCAGCAACCTGCACTTTAATATTTTTGGAAACTATTGAACTTAAATTGTACTGACTTTATAAATATATTTACTTCAATAAAGATTTTCCATGCCACTAAAGATCAGTTTTTTATTAATATTATAACCAATTTGGAATGATCCGGTTTATTCATGTTCGTCAGCATCTTCGGTGTAGGTAGGTAGTACCTACTACCATTTGAAAAAAATTATTATGAATTTGTGAAATTCTATATTATATAATAAGAAAACTAGGCTAGATTGAGAAGAGATGAAGTTGAGTTGAGATGTATAGTGAAATTCGGCTTATTACCAGTAGTCTACGTTCGTTTGCTTGGCTCCACAACCTTACATTGGCATTCGAGTGTGCAATAATCCAATGTAAAACTGAAAGTGTTTGTCACTTTCTTTTTAAATGTAAGTCTACTTCGAGAGAAAAACCGAAACATGGTAAATCGTTAGGCACATTGCGCTTTTTAACACAGCACTGGGGGACCAAGCTAAAATTTGCGAAATGAATTGAGGATCAGTAAAGTTATAGAAAATTCACGTTATTCTTTATGAGCACTGACCTCTCTCTCTCTCTCTCTCTCTCTCTATATATATATATACAATATGTAACTTAATTAACGCACACCCTCAGACACCCCAATTAGTATTATATGTTATAATCATAATACATACACTGAATTTTTAGTTTTAAACATTTTTATGCACTGATTATTTATACTAATTCCGGAAGAATGTTGTGGCCACAGTACAAATCCACGAATGCAAAGACTTTAACGTGCGTAAAATAAAGTTCATTTTTCTTTATTTTTATTGAATGACAGAATTAGTAATAATACAAATAAAACTGCACTCTTAAAAGTCTTATTGCCTTATGTTACGGTCCATTTCAGTTTGTTTTGACTGTACAGATTTAGTGTAACTGTAATTTACGTAGTTTTAATTATTTTTGGGATAAAAAAATACCTATATTAAAAATGATAGGAATCGTTTCAGTAAACGATTCTGAACAAACTACTTTCTCAAAGTGCGTTAATTATGTTACATGTTGTATATATATATATATATATATATCGGGTGTCCCAGAAGTCGACGTCAAGCCGAAACTTTCTGATAGGCGAGGCCATACCAGTTACCAGAAAAATGTAAAAAATATCTGTCATGTATTTCAGAAATTATAGGGTAAGTGCACCAATGAATGAACACCCCCCAGTGAATGAACAAAAGTGAGTTTTTTCAATATAATAAGAAAAGTAAACATTTCTACCAAACACTGTATTTTTTTTTCGAGTGGTCTAATTTTTTTACGTAAACTGGTCACACAAACATTTGCCAGCGACCCGTAGTTACAAAATGGCGACTGCTTAAAGTGGACGTGTTGTGTTGTGTTTCGTGATTGTATGAGCGAGAATTTAGGACTCAGGTAAGACAGTGCATTTTGGTATTAGCGTTGTTCACGTTATATGAGTGACAGTGTAAAGAAAACTGCATAATAAGATAGAACAATGATTATTTTATTCATTAGAAAACAACTTGTTTATAATTTCATGTGTTTAATAAAAATAAAGGGGTGTTCGATTACTAGATCATGAAAGTGAGAAAGTTCTAGTAAATGAACGAGTGTTCATTCACTGGTTCTGGTCTGTTTTGTTACTTTTGGCTAATTTTGCATGTTTCTGTTCTCAGAATTGGTTTATTTTTTGTAGAAAGGTTTAATTATTGATTGTCTACCTTTAGGCCAGTATTCGAACACCCTAGTGTTCATTTACTAGTTTTTAAATCTAATGAATGAACTATAGTATTGTTGCTACGTTCATTTACTGGTTTTCAAAAACCAATGAATGAACTATAGTATTATTGCTACGTTCATTTACTGGTTTTTAAAATCCAATGAATGAATAAATAAACTATTAATGTTTTGTTATATTTCAAGCAGTGATATTTAGTTTTATCTCAGTAATTAGTTACAAAAAATATTCAGACGCTTCAACTTCAATTTCTCTTTTTTTTTTAGTTCAAAAATAATGGAATCTACTAAAAAGAAATACGCAAGATTCCGTTATACTCAACAACAGTTAGAGGAGGCTCTTACCCGTATAACAAATAACGATTTGTCTATTAATAAAGCCAGCAAAATATACGACATACCCAAATCAACGTTAAGTAATAAATTAAATAATAAAGTACCATGGCAACGAAAAATGGGTCCATTAACACAACTAACTTTCGACGAAGAAAACAAGCTAGCAGACTGGATTTTAACAAAAGCTAAACTTGGGTTTCCAATGCACCCGGAAGAAGTTTATGATACTGTGGAAATATTCTTGAAACAAAATGAGAGGGAGAATAAATTTACAAAAGGCCGACCGGGGAAAAAATGGCTTACTTTGTTTTTGCGAAGACATCCCGAAGTAACTAAAAGAAACGCTGAAATAATATCAAAAGCTAGGGCAGCGGTTACAGAAGAGGCCATCAGAAATTGGTTTACTGAATTGAACAAGTTTTTAGAGGAAGAAAATGCCTTAGACATTAAAGATGACCCGACTCGTATTTTCAATTCAGATGAAACTGGCGTCATGACTTGTCTTAAAACGGGGCTGATTTTGGGGCCCAAAAATTATAAAAATACATACGAAATCGCAAGTGGGAAAGAAAAAGAATCAATCACAGTCCTATGTACATTCTCTGCTGATGGTACTGATGTACCACCGTTTGTTTTGTATCCATATAAAAGAATGCCACCAGCCGTAATTCAAAATTTCCCAGATACTTGGTATATTGGCCGTTCCGACAGCGGGTGGATGGTATCAGTTGTATTTTTTACCTACATTAAGTTATTTTATGAATGGTTGGTAAAAAATGAAATCCGGTTGCCTGTATTGCTATTTCTGGATGGCCACAAGTCCCATATCAATCGTGACATGTTTGATTTCTGTCGTGAAAAAGGAATAATGATTTTCTGTTTATATCCCAACTCAACTCATATTTTGCAGCCCTGTGATGTAGGAATATTTGGACCGTTGAAGAAAAATTGGAAAAGGGTAGTGAGAAAGCATAAACAGGCATCCACTGTACCTATAACAAAACAAAATTTTGCTGCGTTGTTTAAAATAGCTTACGACAGAAGCATTAAGCCAACTACGATAAAAAATTCATTTAGAGTTTGTGGTTTATATCCAATGTCTCCAGATGCAGTTGACTACTCACGCTGCATAAGTAATAGAAGGCAAGAAATTGCGCAACAAAACCAAAAAGGCACCACAACCTCTAGTCTTCATGACCAAAAAGAGGATCTACGAAGTACGATCAAGGTTATAGAAGGTGAAGTTGGCCAGATGATAAGAAATGAGTTTGTCATGTCTTACAATTTAAACCGTTCTCATCCCCATCAATATTTTGAGCTGTGGAAAAAATGTAGAAATCAACTTGAGAATAAAAAACAGAGTGACACGATAACACCGAATACCCCGATCATTCCTCTTGATCTGTCAGTATCATCTATAGAAGCGTCTACTTCAAACGAGGACGATTCCAAACTGGAATCAAGCCAGGCACTGGAAAGGAATAGTGTTCCCGAAATCGTCGAGTCTGAAATTACAAATGTGGAAACTGAAGAAATGCATGCAACTAATAGTTCAATTATAATAGATTCGGCAATCCGACTGCCATCGGATAATTCCATATTATTGGGTGAGACTAGTATTTTACCCAATTTACCACCCTTTGATACAACTGAAGATGTCATAGATTTTATTATTCAGAATGAAATAGACATACCTGATGTGATACCATTGCCATGGTATGATACTTTAGAAATAATAGTAGAAAAAGACCCCATTATTGACGCTCCTAATAAATGCTCTTCTCCTCAGAATAACGCATCATCCATACCAGCCATTCCCAGTTGCAGCAATAACACTAATCAAGCAAAAAATTCGCTTGAGTCCACAGTTGATAGTCAGACTGCAATAAAGTCTGTAATAGATCCCACTAATAGTATTAATTCATCGAATGATACAAATCCATCCAATCCACTAGAAGGATTTTTGAAAATACCGGATTTACCACAAAAGAAATTTAAAGTTACAAAAAAAAATGCCTGCACCTTATGGATTAACAGGGCTCAAATACAAAGAATATTTAAAAAATCAGGACGATGAGAAAAAAATTAAGGAGGAAGAATTAGCGAATAAAAGAAAGGAACGAGAAGAAAAAAGACTGAACAAACAAAAATCTCAAAGCAAAAAACGTGTTCAACTGAAACGCCCAAAAAATCCCCTTAAAAAGCAAGCTAAGAAAATGAAAGTAGAACATGATGATCACACACAACCTGCCGAAGATTTTATAACAACAGATAATTTAGAAGCAAGTGAAGAGACTGAAATAGAAACTAGGAGAACTACTACGACTTGTACTGAATTTAAGGACAATTTATTTGATAGATATGTACTGGTTCAATTTGAGAGTGGAAAGAGAATGCGTCATTTTGTAGGAAAAGTGATAATGGTAAATGACAATGAAAGAAAATATAAAGTAGATTTTCTTAGAAAAAAATCCGTTGTGGAAAATGTTGTCAATTTTGCAAAACCAATAGTGCCAGATATTGCAGAAGTTGATTTCGATGATATTAAACGTGTATTCGGTACACCGAATATTTCTAGGCGCGGATTAATTTGTTTTGACGATTTAGTATTTAAAGATATTGAATAATAATTGTTTTAATTCTTTTGATATTTTTTATAGTGAGAAAAAATGTACTGCTGATTACGCTTATCTCACACTTTATGGTTAGTTTTTAAATTAATAATACCATTAACCGGTTTAGTTATTTTTAGAATGTGAAGAGATTAAGGTATCATATTTTTGTTACGCTTATTGTTGATTAGTTATATTGTAAGCTTAAGGTTTAATTTGATAAGTTTCATAAAAATTGTTTTTATTTGATTTAGGTACAACATGTTTTTTAATCTTTGTTAATTATATATTTTTATAACCAATGATGATTCTAGTCCGCTATTGTTTTAATTATCTAGGTAGAACATAATCAAAGTTCTTAATTAAAAGTGATACCTAAAGCCTAATTTGTAAGAGTAAAGACTGAAATAATGTATCTACTAATGTGATTACCTAGTTGGAATTAAGAGTAGTATGTCGAATAGCATGTAACGGCTACGTTGATTATTCTGTGATTTTAATGTGCCTACAATTTAAATAAAAGTTATGTTTTCGTTTTATTCTCTTTTTATTTTTTTTATATTTCCCACTGTGTTTTTATAAATATGCCTACACCATCGCTTTCAAATTCATAGTTATATTATTCAAAGAAGTATATAAATTATAAAACCTCATTTACATTTAATAAATAATCAGAAACTTGTGATTTCTAGCTTAATTAGTATCAACAGAAAACGTTCATTCATTGGAGTTTAAAATGTTCATGCACTGGATTTTGGTGTTCATTTACTGGTGATTTTGGGTGCTTTGGCATAAAATGTCGATTATCTTAGTAATTATGTCCTTTAACGGCAGATTGCCCATATAATATTAAACTTGAATAAATTTTGAATGTAATAGAGTGGCATTATTAAAGCACAGCCACCCATATATAGATGCTTATAATTTTCAAAGTTTGAAATTGCCTTAAGGGTTCATTCATTGGTGCACTTACCCTAGTAATTTTTTTTTCGATAAAATGTACACCATGAGACAGTTTTTTTATTCCTGTTGCTACAAATATTTACTTTTTGCCAATTTTTTTTCTCTTACGTCGTCCTGAATAGTGCTTCTGTAACCTGTAATCCCTGTGCCGATCACTCCAGCTTGAAAGAAAATGTAATTTTATACCGAACCAAGTTTTCAGAATTAGTTTTTCGCACTAGTTCAACTGACCGTCCTGGAAAAAAAATTGTACTACGCCAGTTTGGCAAGTAGCTTTAAAAGTTAGCGAATTTAATAAGGATTCTAACGTGGTATAACACACTCCATTATTTCTTAGATCAGACATAAAAAGTTTTTTGTTAAAGTCAGTTTTTAACAATATTTTGGAACTTACATTAAAACAATTCTAGTGCAAACAAAGCGTTCCTAATGACCGCAGCGTGTTTTAAATGAGATGGAGACGTTCCATAAAGTGTGAGCGAGACAGATAGTGACTCTAAAGAGACACAGACGCAAATGAGAGGACAAGACAGAGAGCCATGCTAAGTGTGAGCAAGACAGGTAGTGACGCCTCTTATTGATATTGGTACACGCACTACAAATCAGTCAAGTACTCTGTGAAATCAGTACGCAACGCTACTTCGTTTACTACGCATCTTATCGTATTCGCTGGTGATATCTTGTGTTCTTACTACTTTGGCTTCGTTTAGTGGACTTGTTTGCGTGTGATTTGGATTTGGACATTTGTGATCTCTTTACGACGACCTTTGCTTTTCCCTGGACTAACGTGTTATTGTGTATTTGTACCATACCATGGCTGTGTACACCACACAGGAATATGCCAACATGCACCTCATTTATGTGGAATGCCAATGTAATGACAGTGAAGCCGCTAGACGGTATCGCGAGAGATACCCTAATGCTGATCGCTATCCAGATCACAGAGTTTTTACCAATGTGCACCGTCTACTCTTCTCTGATGGCCGACTGCCAAACCAAATGCATGGTGAAGGTAGAATTTCATTACCTTACGAGGAAGTAGTTCTTCAAGCAGTTGATAAGGACCCAAGTTGTTCGGTACGTGGAATTGAGGCCAGCACAGGTGTGCCCAAAAGTAAAGCTCACCGAATATTACAAAAAAAATATACGTGTAGCACTCGGGGACTGCCGCGGTAAAGCTATTGCATAATATTTTTGTCAACTTATGCAATTATAATTATTTATTTATGTAGTATTTTTTATTTGTTTTTTTCTTTGATATTAATTCAAGTTACAGCAGCTATTCTACACGCATACGTCTAGTCACACGCACACAAACACCGAGCCGAAGTCTGCCGAACTGAAGCGACGTTACGGCGCCTCTACACGTTGGCCAACACAGTGGCGAATGTAGTGGCCAATAGCATTGGCCAACGTGTAGACGAGGTGTTTGGGCTTCATTGGTATGTATTGGAACGATGGCCCACAAGTTGGCGCGAGATCCATGTGGTGTCGGTTTTTTACAAAAGATCAATGGATTGTTGGCAGAGTTTGGTCGCCGCGTCCACACGTTGGCCGCGAGTTTAGTTTGCTACAAGCTCCCAGAGTGATTACACGCATCTGATTAAAATTTTATATTCACGCTTTGTAGGGTGGATGGCCCAATTACCAGCCTTTTAGTGCCAATTTCAACTTTAACATTCCTACTACTTTAATTAGCACGATTCAATTATTTTTAAAAATTTGTTTTAATCGATAAGCTATTTATAAAAAAAATAATGAACATTTATTTACAATCAGATTATTACGAGAACAATTTTAAAATGAAAAAAAAATGAAGCACGTCGTTTATACGTAGTAGAACCATGCAGTTATATTAGAAGTATAGTTGTAGCACGAATGGGTCGGTTCGACCGGGGAAGGACCACGCTCTCACAGAATATCAATGTAAAATAGTAGCTTAATGATTGTGTGTTTCGTATAGTGAGTGTAGAGAACCAGAGACACTTTTTAAATGAAACGAGGCATTTCATCTTAGTCCTCACGGGTGACAACGCATCTGCATTTTGATTCGTAATCGAGGATAGATATAGATGTCTGTGGGCCACAGCAACTACTTACCATCAGGTGAACTGTGTGCTCGTTTGTCACCCTATCCTATATAAAAAAGCGTCGATTTCTTATAATTTAATCGTGCAAGTTTTCGAATCATCATCATCATTACAGCTCTTCACAAGTCACTATTATTAAGTCAGTGTTAATTATATTTATTGCTATTGTTTTCAAAAAGTAATTAAATTACTGTTACGCGCTCCAGTCAACGATACACTAGCGCCATCTAGTGTCAGGAACGAGAGCGAGGGGAGCATTGAGAAAATGACATCACAAATTACTCAACCGACAGCGCCTAGTCGAAACTCGAACGCTCGGTACCTTGCCCGTGTTTACTTGAACATTCTGGATATTTCTTTGCTAATTTAAATATATAGGCGCTGCAAGATGCGATCGGGGCAGTGTTGATTTGGGCGAAACAAGCGAAGCTTCGGAGTGGAATTAAGTGAATTAGTGTGTTTAAATTATTGGTGTTTTAACTTTAATTGTGTAAAGTAAATTAAAGTGTTAATTTAGGTAATTTTATCGGCAATTTTTATTGTCACGAACCTCAAGCTCGTAACAATTGGTGTCAGAAGTGGGATAAAATCATGCCGATTTTACCTAAGGAGGAAACGGAGGGTGTCCGTACCCGAAGTCAACGCCAGCAGGAGACGGACCAACGAAGATTTGGTGGTGCAACGCCGCAGACGTCGGAGGGCCAGCCACCGGCTGCAGGCCCGTCGGTAGCTCCTACATCTGCAGCACCTGACTTAGGTGCTCTGATGGTGATGCTGCAGGAGCAGGCTCGCCGACAGGAGGAGCAGGCTCGCCGACAGGAGGAGCAGGCCCGTCAGTTGAAAGAGCAGCTGCAAAGCGGACAAGAGGAACAGGCCCGCCGGCAGGAGGAACAGGCCCGCTGGCAGGAGGAACAGGCCCGTCGTTTAGAAGAGCAACTCCAACGCGATAAGGAAGAGCAGATGCTCCTCATGAAGGACCTTCACGCTATCTTCGGAAAAGAGATACGGGAGGTGAAGGATAAGGTTGCTCAACATGACAACCGCCTGTCGGAGGCCGAAACCCGAATCGACCAAGTAAACAATCGGGTTGACAACGTAATGGCTGACGTGAAGAAAACGCTGGACGACCTCAAACTTGGGGATGGAACAACAGCTCCCGTAGTAGCTACAACACCTTCGCTACGTGGATTCAAAGTGCCGCCGTTCGACGGTACCTCTTCCTGGTCAGCCTACAAGATCCAGTTCGAGGCTGTTATGAAGGCGAACGGCTGGAATGAAAGTCAGGCCATGACTGCTCTCACACTAGGCCTGCGCGACCAGGCCTTAACAGTTCTGGAAGCTCTCGGTGAGGAAGTGACTTATGAGCAACTCATTGAGGCATTGGAGGCGAGGTATGGCGACGCTCACCTGGAACACGTCTTTCGTGCGCAGCTTAAAGATCGCGTGCAGCGCATCAACGAAAACCTGCAGCAGTGGGCTCTAGAGGTGGAGAAGCTGGTGCGAAAGGCATACCGGTCTGTACCTGCGCTCATTGGAGGGAACCTGGTGCAGACATTCATCGACGGCATCCGTGACCTGGAAGTCAGAGCTGCTGTGAGGCTCGGGCACCATGAGACGCTTAAGGACGCCTTGGCCCATGCACTGGAGGTAGAAGCCGTGCGGCAGGATCATCGTTCCCATCGCGTCAGGGAGGTTGCAGCAGCTACAGTTCGCGACCGCAACAAAGGATACAGCCCTAGGTGCTATGGCTGTGGGGAAAAGGGCCATCTTCGATCCAGCTGCCCTAAGCGAACCGTTGAAAGGAGAGTTGATCGATCTCGAGAGGGTAGTGCAGCTAACGACACTGCCTGGCGGCGACAGGATCATCGTTCACCTCACGCTAGGGAGGTTACAGCAGTTACGGTTCGCGACCACAATAAAAGATACAGCCCTAGGTGCTATGGCTGTGGGGAAAGGGGCCATCTTCGGTCCAGCTACCCTGAGCACACCCTACGAAGGGAAGGTGAACGGTCTCAGAAAGGAAGTGCGGCTAACAGCACCGCCCAGCAGCAGCAGGAATACGACTGTACTATCAGACACTGCAGCGGGAAATCTCACGGCAACGCAGATGCATTGTCAAGAAGACCTTGTCCTGAAGATTGCAACCATTGTAGTAGGCAAGAGAGTAAGGAGGTGGTATCCGTGAGGATGCTCAGGACAGACCACCTCAGCAACGGGTGGAAGGACAACCTACGACATGCACAGCAGGAAGATCCGGACATCAAGCCGATTCTGGGATGGATGAAGGCCCGTGCTACCAAGCCTAAGTGGAGGGACGTCTCAGCGATGAGTTCAACCACGAAAAGCTATTGGGCCCAATGGGACAGCTTGCTGATTCAGGATGGAGTCCTGTGCCGTAAATGGGACAATAGTCGAAGAGACAGCTGTCGTTTGCAAATGGTTGTCCCTAAAGCTAAAGTGCCGAATGTTCTACAGTTGTGCCATAATGGTCGTTCAATAGTCCATCTGGGAGTTAAACGAACTCTACTGAAGGTCCGAGAACAGTTTTACTGGGTCCATTATCGTGACGATGTCGAGGATTGGTGTCGTACATGTACAAGTTGTGCGGCCGAGCGGGGACCTCGGACACGTAGTAGAGGAGCACCGAAATTGTACAATGTTGGTGCACCACGGGATAGGACAGCCCTTGACATTGCGGAGCCGTTACAGAAAGGCGCAAGAGGGACTCCTAAGATCGTCCATGTGAATCGCTTGGCGCGTTATTATGGGGCCGATAATGCTCGGGACGAGCATGTCTTAGGAGGGGGCAGTGTTACGCGCTCCAGTCAACGATACACTAGCGCCATCTAGTGTCAGGAACGAGAGCGAGGGGAGCATTGAGAAAATGACATCACAAATTACTCAACCGACAGCGCCTAGTCGAAACTCGAACGCTCGGTACCTTGCCCGTGTTTACTTGAACATTCTGGATATTTCTTTGCTAATTTAAATATATAGGCGCTGCAAGATGCGATCGGGGCAGTGTTGATTTGGGCGAAACAAGCGAAGCTTCGGAGTGGAATTAAGTGAATTAGTGTGTTTAAATTATTGGTGTTTTAACTTTAATTGTGTAAAGTAAATTAAAGTGTTAATTTAGGTAATTTTATCGGCAATTTTTATTGTCACGAACCTCAAGCTCGTAACATTACCAATAAATTATAAGGTGTTTTTTATATACATCAAATGTCTGATAGAAAAGCAAGTACATGTTTTGTTAAACTTTAAAAACAAAACCCAATTTTAAAACATAGACTTATCGATTATAACTCCTTTAACTTTAAAATAAGTTTAGTTCTCATTAATGGTATTTATTCCAGTTTCTGATGCATGTAAAGAATAAATAAAGCTAATCGTATATCTATTTACAGCCCATTAATATTCACTATTCTTTTATAATTATTTTATAAAAACGTTACCCCCCACACTTGGATTTTCTCCTGTATCGCGGAGGCAACTTACAAACATAAATTGCATAAGGACACACATCCAGACCCGAAATAATTATTTGTAGGATATACAAATACTTTTTCCGTGCGGGATTCAAACCCGCGACTCCTGGCACAGCCACTCATTGCCAAGCCACTGCGCCACGGAGCCGTCGTCTAAAATAAAATAAATTCGTCCGCACATAAACGACGTTACACAATGCACGGCCTTCAAGCCACACCTCCGTGCCCGTCGGAGTGGGGAGCGTGAGGTTTTTTTTCGTTACGGAATTTCTGGATTCGGTCCCCGCGCTCAAGGCCCGCGATAGAAGCTATGCAATAGCTTAAAAATGACCACCCTTATCATGTATAGCGAGTACAAACGTTATTACCTCGGGATTATGAACCTCGGGTTGCGGTTTTGCCAAACCATGATTCAAAAACACCGAGAAGACCCACAATTCTTAGAAATTTTGTTGTGGTCGGATGAATCAACCTTTAAAAAAGACGGCTACATGAACCTTCACAATCTACACGATTGGCACGTCGAAAATCCATGATTTACGAGACAAGATAGATCACAGTACTGTTTCAAAATAAACATGTGGACTGGAATTTTAAACGGAAAAGTCATAGGGCCTTTCGAGTTGCCAGAAGTTGTAAATGCTGAAATTTATTTAGATTTTTTACAAAATCATTTACCCAATTTGCTGGAGGACGTGCCGCTTATTATTTTCAAAGACATGTGGTTCCAACAAGATAGTTGTCCAGCGCATTATAGCCGCTTAGTTCGAGAACACCTTAACGAGGAATATCCGGACAGATGGATAGGGCTGGCTGGTCCTATCTCGTGGCCCGCCCGCTCACCCGATTTAAATCCTCTAGATTTTTTTTACTGGGGAGCAGTGAAGGAAAAAGTATATTCCGAGCCGATTGAAAATGTAGAAGAGCTTAGACAGAGAATAGCGGAAGCAGTTGAATTTTGTAATAATGGAAGATTCGCCCGCCTGATTTCACGATCTTTTTTAAGAAGATGTCGGGCTTGTATTGCAGCTCAAGGACGGCAATTTGAACATCTTTTGTAAAATAAGTAATAAATTTTATCATAAAAACGAAACTGACTGTCTTAATTTTATAACCATTATTTTATTACTTTAGTTTGTATTTGCGTCTGTGTTTCATAAGCGTCACTATCTGTCTCTTTGGTGCACTAGAATCGTTTTAATGTAAGTTCCAAAAAATTGTTAAAAACTGACTTTGTTTAACAAAATTTTTTGAAATCTGATCTAAGAAATAATGGAGTAAGTGTTATACCACGTTAGAATCCTTATTAAATGCGCTAACTTTTAAAGCTACTTGCCAAACTGGCGTAGTGCAATTTTTTTCCCTGACGGTCAGTTGAAGTAATGCGAAAAACTAATTCTGAAAACTTGGTTCGGTATAAAATTACATTTTCTTTCAAGCTGGAGTAATAGGCACAGGGTTTAGGATTACTGGTTACAGAAGCACTATTCAGGATGACGTAAGAGAAAAAAAAATTGGCAAAAAGTAAATATTTGTAGCAACAGGAATGAAAAAACTATCTCATGGTGTACATTTTATCGAAAAAAAAACTATAATTTCTGAAATACATGACTTAGATTTTTTTATATTTTTCTGGTAACTAGTATGGCCTCGCCTATCAGAATGTTTCGGCTTGACGTCGACTTCTGGGACATCCTGTATACAAGTATAAATAGAGGTCAGTGATTATGAGATAATAATGATATATCTTTTTTGAATTATCCAAATCGGATTATTACTTACGAAGATAACATAGGCCGTTTCTGCCGCTAAAACCTAAAAGTCAATTTACGCAGGTACGACGTTATTGTGACGGAACCCAGCGCAGCCGGCGCTTGTAGTTCAAGATTCGACTGAGCGTGGAGACGCTGTTGGGCACTACATTTGGAAATTTATTTAAATAAAATGTGAGAGTCTAATTTTGTGATTGTTTAAGTATTAAACGTACATAATATGAGTGCTAATAAAGTAGAAGTTGGGTTTGTGCAAGCTGAGTCAGATAACCTTCCAAAAGTGGATTTTTCAATTGATTACCTAGGTAATCATTCTAAGTTCACCGGTGCTGGAATCCGTGATTGGAAACTACAAAGGTAAGGGTGTTGCTTATATATTTACGTACGTAGGTACTTTAGGTATAAGCTGTTAGTGATATACGTAAGAAGAATGAATGTAAAGTATGCGTATTCATAACTTACATGAACAAGGTGTTTATAGTATCTTGATAAAAGAAATATTGTTTTCGTTAATTCATATGTAGATCATTTCGCGGATGGTTTTTTAACCTACTTGCACTTTATTTAGTGTATGGTTACCTACACTTGTTGATCTGACAGAAACCTTAATATTGGTTGTCAACGGCTGTTTTTTTGTCACCTTGCTCATTGTTACGAATCACTCGTTCAGTATGTATTTATTCTAGAAGAACTAAATTTTTCCGGAATAAAATACTTTTTATCCCGGAAAAACGTACGGTTCCTGTGTGCCTGTTATTTCCAACTACCTATAATCTATCTTTTTGCCAAATTTCATCCAATATCAGTTCAGCAGTTTTTGCTTGAAAAAGTAATAAAGATCAAATCAATCATCCTCACAAACTTTCACATTTATAATAGTAGGAAGTAGGATAGGATAGGATTTTGTTGTTTGTATATTTTTATTCCGTTTTATTTATTTATTACAGATCCGCACGTGAAACCTATGGAGATGATGCTGTAGGATTTCTCCAAGACAAAAAGCAAAAATACCGCCTGAACATAGAATAAAAAGTAAAGCGTAAATCTGCACATTTACAGGCGATGAAAAAGAGGAGACGGTTATTTTTTATAGCATAGGGTGACAAACGAGCATACAGTCCACCTAATGGTAAGTGATTGCTGTCGATCATAGACATATATCTATCCTCGATTACGAAACAAAATGCAGACTAAGAGATATCACTCGTGAGGACTTAGATGGAATCCCTCGTTTAACCGGTTCCACCTCACCATACGAAACACAGCAGCATTAAACTAGTATTTGACGTTGGTATTCCGTGAGAGCGTGCTCCTTTCCCTTTATAATATATATTATATATTTTACTAATATAACTGCAGTATGGCTCTACCACGTAATTTCAAGTTTTGAACGCAGACTCATGACTGTACTGTTCAAAATTTAGGTTGCAAACATGGCGTAGCATTTTTCATGTGGGTCCATAGACGCATCGAGGAGCCATCTCCCACTGAAAAAATATCTTACTGGGCCAAACCAAAGCAGGTTACTATAGGTACTAAATTTATAAAGGCTAAAGATGAGGGTCTCAGTTTAGTTACTACTGAAGATAAAACACCGATAACAATGGAGACTAGTTTTTCCTAGCAGTTGTGCAAAGTCTAATGGAAAATTCTACTGAAAATCAGTTATCATTGTACGTTACAAAAAATGTGTTTAAAAAATTGTCTGCATAATCTTGTTCTTAGGCTTGTACTCTTAAATAGTGCAGATGCTTTTATTGATTAAAGTATTTTATACTCTTAAATAGTGCAGATGATTTTATTGATTATTGCTCTACTAAAATCACTTTAGAAGAATGTCACAAAGCAGAGGAAGCAACTGTTTGTCAAGCCTGTCGAAGCGACAGTAGCCTAATGGCAGGGCGCGTATCGCGATCTCAAAAGGTCGTGGATTCGATTCCGCCATTTGCCATTTGTCGTGAACCACTCCTAACACAAGCGTTTCAAGCTTACCAGGAGTGATTAAAAGGAATATTAGTAATGTTAATTAATAAGATTACAAATATTTAAAAAAAAGCCAGTTCACCGTTATAGCATCAGTTAAAGTATTGTAGAATAACCGCGTCTAAAGTTCACGAAGCTGCACATTGCAAGACTCCTGATGGTGCTTTGGAAATATTTGGTGTCTTTGTACCAGAGACTGTCTATGAAACGAGGCAAACGATTGGAATCTGAGGTCAGAGTAGAAGTAGCCCAAACAAGGAAAAAAATGCTGGTTTCTTTTTAAAACCAGATTGTCCTTATTAGGTGCTTCCTCAGATGGATTGACAAGTGAATATGTAGTAGAAATAAAATGTTCCTTGACAAAGAAAGGAAAGGAAAGTTTGTAAAGAATAATGTTCTCGGCAGCAAATCAAAAGCTCAAATTCAGCTATAAAAGTTTGTGTGCAATACAGTCACTGGATTTTTTTGTGTAGCTAATGAAAATTTTGAAAGCAATAAACAAGTAGAAATATTCGAAGAAGATTATGATGAAAACTATTGAACTAATCTTTTAGAGAAGTCTACTCATTTTTGGAAAACATCAGTGTTTCCGAAACTGTTTATAAGACTTAAAATTACTCTTTTTTTTAATTTCTAGCTGTTCCCTGCGACTTGGTCCGCGTGAAGTTTATTACAATTAAATTTCATTGATTTGAATTTATGCGCAGACACCAATTCTTTATCTACAATAAAAGTAGAATAAGTTACTCCTTATAACATCAGCTATCTGCCAGTGAGTCCTGACAAAATTGGTTCAGCCATTTCGGAGATTAGCCGGAACACACAGAAAAACAGACGCAAACATTTGAAAAATTGTTTTTGTTTTATAAATATATATATGCCACGATTAGCAGGCGCTTTCACATTCGCAGAATTCGCATAGTTTCCGAGATATCGATACTCAAAATTCGAATACTTAAACCAAATCAGCAACACCACGTCGTCTTGTCTGCCATACCCTTAGTGTTTTTGTAAAGCCATAGGCGCGGAGGGAAAGCAGCCCCCGCCCGCCGAAGGCGACTAATAAGTCAAAGCTGCGGAGGTGAGCATGGGTGCCTACGATTTGTTACAGAAGCGCGAAGAGGCTGCACTTCCCGCAGCGCCGAAGCTGTTGCAGAAGTAACTTTGGGTCAATATTCCTGTGTAAAAAAGTGAGCTCATGATTTTACAGAAAAAAAAAACATTACTCATAAACTATACTTTTCCACAAGGGGGAAAGGGTAGGGGCTTCCCCTGAACCTACTCTTTCCTCCACCCCCGTACGCAAGTATTGGATGTCTATAGTTTTCCTTCCAAAAATATAGATATATAGATCTCGACGTCCTTCAAATCGTAAGAACCGTAGTCGTGCCTTTTTTCCTTTATACTTAATTGAAACAGTCACTAAAAATATATGTGTTCTTAATTATGTTCATATTTTTATTTCTACGTGGATATTTTCCGTAAATAATCTATTTTTTATTTACGTACGTAACTCTTGTACGACTATGCTGTAAGACGCAAAGTGTTAGTTACAAAAAAGAACGTCGCCCGCCGCCGAGAACAAGAGAGCGGCTTAGTACTAAGTCGACACGCTATTTTAGATCTTAACGCTTTATGGTTAGATCGATTTTTAGTCTACTCACAATACTATACGGAACGATTGTAATGCCAAGTTAGCAAGTCGATATACTATTTTATTCATTTATAATTTGTAAAAAATTGTACTACTACTTTTCAGAAAGATTATGCTGAAATATGGTTTAAGACATTTATTTCTCTAAAAAATATTACAATTCGCTTTTTGAGAAAAAAAATATCAACCTTTTTTATAGGATAGGGTAACAAACGAGCACACAGTCCACCTGATGGTAAGTGGTTGCTGTGGCCCATAGACTTCTACATCTATCCTCGATTACGAATCAAAATGCAGATGCGTTGTCACCCGTGAGGACTAAGATGGAATGCCTCGTTTCCAGTAAAAAGGGTCTCCGGTTCTCTACACTCACCATACGAATACATTATAGCATTAAGCTACTATTTTACGCTGGTATTCTGTGAGAGCGTGGTCCTTCCCCGGTCGATCGACCCATTCGCGCTACAACCATACTACTAATATAACTGCAGCATGGCTCTACCACATATAATAACTATTTGCAATATAAAATTATATAAACATGAAGAGAATTATTTTAACCACAAAAACAGAATGTTCATGTTGCACTGCGCTTCATGTTCCCGCTATTGGTTTAAGACGTAATCAGGGTGTCGTCTATCCTTGACCACGGCTCCCAATGAACTGATAATCGTTGACGCGCTAAGGATGCGCCAGAGTTGAGATATTGGATTTATTATGCGAAGTTGATTTGATGAAATTTTCTTTTATTTATGTAGCTGATGATATTTTTGTTTCTTACCTTTTGTTTTATTCAAATATCAATAATAATTTAAAAAATAACACGTTTGCGTTTAATTTTTGAATAGTTTTCAATAAACTAGCGGTCAAACGTAGACGACTTCGGCGTGCTGGACATGGTATTTGCTTGGATAAAAAACCATATTTTTAGTTCAATATTTCTGAGTACTTGTGGCTATAAGAGACTTGTTTTTTAAATTTACACATTGCTGGGATATTCCATATTGAGAAATGTAGAATTAAAATACCAGTAATACTTTTCTAATATCTATATTTCATATTTTTGTGGGCCGGGTTTATTGTCAACTATAGACGTCGTTGGCGCTCAGGGCTCGCAGGTGCTGGTCAAGTATAGGCAACTTTGGCGCTCAAAAGGCTAATGATGATGAATGATAGTGGCATTATATTAATATGATACATAAATAGAATGGACGTTACGAGTTGAGTCCATCTATCCATAAGGTCCATTCTATTTATTTAGGTATAGGTAGGGTACCTATAGAATTTTTATCGATATATTTTGTTACTGTCTTATCCCTATTATTAGTTCCGTGGACGTGCACTTCTGCCGTCAGCGCCAAAATGGCGCAAATCAAATTGCCTTATCATGTCACGGTGTTATAGCCAGTCCAGCGTACTTGTATATATAGAGGTCAGTGATAAAACCGTACATTTGACAGACGGATATATGCCTGGCGATGCAGCCTCCTTTTGTTTAATACTCAAAGATCGATTGCATGGACGATAACTTTGATCAACAGAAATAAAAAATATAGAAAATAAAACTACTTTAACTTATTTCATAAAACGTCAATTTCGTAGGTAAAGACTTAATAGTATTGGTATTTCGCAAAGAATATATTATATACAATTTATTTTGATTTAGTTTATTTAATAGTAAAAAAAATTAAAATCCATAACCAATCTAATGATTTCTTATATTTACGCGAACATTGCACATGATTAAAACTACTTTTACGGATTTTATCGCGTTTATATATATATATATATATATATATATATATATATATATATATATATATATATATATATAAACCGATAAAATCTTTAATGCATGTCCATAACCATGATCATCGGTTATGGATTTAAATTTTTGAAAATAAAATTCAAGGGAAGAATGCAACTATCAAACGTCGATGCTATTTGTGAAAATTGCATTCCATAGCGAGAAACCAATTTTCGAATTTTTTGTACTTTAAACTTGGTAAAGTTACTTGAAGTGATGTATTTGAAAATTACATAAAGTAACACTGAATTACATTTTCGAGCTAATTTATAAAACCTGTCAAAGTAATTTGATCTATTTGTGCTAATTTAAATATTACTATGATAATAAAAATAATATTTTATCTATGTAATAAAATGTATAAATATATATATATATATATATATATATATATATATATATATATATATATATATATATATATATATTAGGCACCACCTCAACTCATCAATTTTATTGAAATTTTATACAACTTACAGGACATTAAACAGATAAATCACATAGAATCACTAGTTTACACATTTTGTAAACATCCATTATCTTATAATTAAAAAGGCATAACACTTTGTGTCACAATATATGATATAAAAATATGTAAGTAAATAAAATACACAATTATTAAATTTATTTGGGCGCAGTATAAACACATTCACCTGCTATCCAAGTTGACAAAACTTTTAAAGTTTTAGGGTCTAATATAACAAAATCTGCATCACACTGGTAATTTAATCTACCTTTACGATTGTCTATGCCGAGAGCTTTGGCTGGATGTAAAGACGCTGCTTCTAACGCGTATTCGACAGAACAATCTGAAACATATGCAATAATTGATTTACATATTGATAAGTCAATTTAAAAATAAGATTTTTTTCTAACCGTGGTGGTAAGCGGATGCTTTGCCTTGGACGCCTGCATCTATCATCGATTTAGAATCGGCATGTAGATGCGTTGTCACTCCTGATGATTAAGATAGGTATGGAGTGCCTCGTTACCAGTAAAAAAGGTCTCCGGTTTTCTACTCAACATATGACACACAGCAACATTATGGTGCTGTTTACGCTGGTATTCCGCAAGGCCGTGCTTGTTCAAAGGACGACCTAATCTATTCATGTTGCAGCGATGATACAGTACCAGTTGCAATAACACTGGTTAGTTAGCCTTCGGAAATTAGTACATAAAT